CGGACGCTTTTCCACAAAAGCACTTTTTGCGGAAAAGTGTCAGTGCCAACCTAGACGCGCTTTTCCGCAAAAAAGCCCAGATAGCCATTTTCACAATCGGGGCTTTTTTGCAGAAAACAAATTTGAGCTGTCTACACTGGCCCTTTTTCACAAAAGCTTTGCGCAAAAGGGACTTTTGCCTAAACGGGGGCAGAATAGTATTTCCGCAAAAAGCACTGACTTCTTACAGTAGGAAGTCAGTGTTTTTGCGGAAATTCAAGCAGCCAGTGTAGACAGCTGGCAAGTTTTTCCAGAAAAGCAGCTGATTTTCCGGAAAACTGGCCAGTCTAGACACAGCCAAACTGTTTTAAATAGAACAAGCTAGAGTGAACATTAGAAATACCTGATGGAGACCTACCAGTGGAGCTTAACAGGGAAGAAATGGAAGACAACTCAGTAAACTCAAAAATGGGGCAGGAGCTGGACAGATACCTAAAGCAAATGACCAATAGCCCTCCAAACTTCCCTTGTGTTCTTGGATACATTGTAGAATGAAGAAAAGAACCCAACCTAGTGATGGAGAGGCTTTAGAGTAAACTTCCAAAGAAAGTGACCTTATCAACTGCAATACTGGAGAGGAACCACTTTACACTCAGTGCCTGAAAAAAATCACATGCATTATCATCCTGGAATGTAACAAAAAAATAGACCTTCAATCTGGAGAGGAATAAGCAGGTTTGAGACCACCGAAATCATGTGGAGACCATAGCTTTGTTCTCAGACATAGTCTAGATAAAATGTGGAATTGGCAAGCAGTTCTTATGATAAATGTTATAGATTTTTAGAAGGCTTATGACAATGCACAGTAAGACAGCCTGTGGAAAATACCAGCAACAATGTTTTGGCCCCATGTAGAAGGGCCAAATTTCGAAAAAGCCTCTTCCAAAAAAAAAAGTGGAAAAAGATACGCAAATTGCGGTTCACAATTTGTGTATCTTTTCCTGATATAACTCTGCAATCTAGACATAGCGAATGACAACAGTCAATTGTTTGCACTGGTCATTGACTATGCCATGAGGAATTTTATGCACAAATGATAGAATACAGTTGGATGAACTCTTTGCTTATTGGAAGAAATGTGTCAATCTGAGAAGGACAAACACAGAGCTTTTAGCAGAAACGGCAAAACAAAAGTGGTTTGTTCATACACAAAATAAAATACATGGCTATTGATGTTCCAAAAATAACCATGCAAATGGACAAAAGCCCACTAGACGTAGGAAGTAATTTTATCTTCCCAGGGGCTGGATTGTGTAATGATGGTAAGAACATGCTACATGTCTAGCAACAAACATCAAAAGCAGCAACTTTCATATACTTGAAAAAGATTTGAAGAAATTGCATACTTGGCACTGACAAAAAATTATACATTTTTAACACTGGTATAACGTCTGCCTTCTTTTATGGAGCATGAAAAAGCACAACAGAAATCTTTCCAAAATAAATGGTTGTAAATGATCTTCAGAATTCTTTAGAAAGAGTTTCTTGCAACATCAGAAATTCTAAGAAGAGCAAACCGATCTAAAGCATCAAACATGGTAAGACGATGGTGATGGACATATTTGGGACATGCTTTACATATGTCATCACCATGACTTCCACAGGAAGTGATAATGTGGACACCATGGATACGTCTACATTGGCCCCTTTTCTGGAAGGGGCATGGTAATTTTTGAAATCGCAATAGGGAAATAGGGAATAAGATCCTCCGGAAAAGGGCGCTTTTTCTGGAGGATCGGGGCCAGTGTAGACGCTCTTTTCCGGCTTTTCTAAAAGCCGGAAAAAAGTGGCGGATATTTTTATTTAAATGCCGCGGGGGATATTTAAATCCCCCGCGCATTTCCCTATTGCGATTTCAAAAATTACCATGCCCCTTCCAGAAAAGGGGCTCTGGAAAGAGAAAAAGCAGGCAACCTAGAGAAACATATTACAATAGAATAAGTAGTATATCCATCAATGTGGTACTTAGAAGCCCGAACAAAGCAGAACAAGACCTAAATAAACAGTGGAAACTAGGGGATGCCCTACACATCGGAGTGTGTGGAAAATAAAGAATTTTGTCTGCAAAATAGTGCTTGCTAGAGTATGAGAAAGCAAAATACTGGGGGACTATTAGGCTATGTCTACACTGCCCCCTTTTGCGAAAAAAATCTGCAAATGAGGCGAAGCGTGGAATATCGCTGCGCCTCATTTGCATAATTCCTGAAAAAAGGAGGAAGAACGGCTCTTGCACAAGAGGGGTTTTTGCGTAAAAGCCTCTTGCACAAAAATGGAGCTTCATTAATTATGCAAATGAGGTTCAGTGATATTCCATTCTTTGCCTCATTTGCATTTTTTTTGTGCAAGGGGGGCAGTGTAGACATATCCTTAGGATAGATACAGGCTCAGTGCAATATTACTTTGCAACAGTTTATATCCTGGAACACAAGTGCAGTGAAGGAGGGTGTGTGTGTGAGGGAGTGCAGCTCCTCAGAGGCTACAATGCTTTCCGGGTTTCCGTGAGGGACAGTGTAGAGTGCTTGCTGTAATATTTTAGGGACAGAGCAACATATATTCCCTTCATTGCTATTCAGCTCTACTGTTTAGTGCAGGTTGAGAAGAGACCTTCTTATTCCTTTTTCAGCTGTCTTGCACCTCAGGAGCAGTAACCTAGAGAATATGCAGGCTCAGGAGAGAATAAGTCTGTGATTTTTCTTTGCATTTTCATCTGAGAGCAAAAGTGGCCTTGGCACATAACATCTCCTCAGAATCAGTGATTAGCTGGGGTTAATGTCCTTCCACTATACTTCAAGCTATCAGCTCCTCTGATCATTAATCCACAGGAAATGCCCTATGCCTTGGTCACTTAATCAAGGAAATAATTATAAGATGAGAGTCTTGAATTTAAGAGAAGAGAGGATGCAATATAACGTATAACTTCTTGAAAGAGAATTTCAGATGAGGAAATTGTTATAAGAAGAGCATTTGCTAAAATATCCTTCATCAATCAGATAATCAGTTAAACCACTCTTCTAAAAAGTTAGATGTTACACAGCTTCCTCTATCTTCTTAAGTTCATGATCTGCAACTGAAGTCCTAAAAGCTAGAATAGTTGCTTACACAGGTATATAAAAACTTCCAAAAACAGTTTTTAAATAAAATGGAAGAGTTTCATTTCTGTAATATATTTGGATAGGAAAGTGATATATTTCTAGTAACATTTTTAAATTATACCAAAATTATCTTAATATTAGCAAAGTAGCCCAAATTCTGTGAATAAACTTATAATAGAATTGGGATTATTTATCTTATCATAGTTAAAAGTCAATCATGCAAGAAATCAAGTTTTGATATCTGTTACTACCTGTGCGTTTTGCCAGTGATGTGTGTGTGTATGAGAGAAAGAATAATGGCATAATCATGAAGTTTACTATGCAAAATAATAATGAAGAGGTATTTGGGATGAACTGTTTTTTCCATAATAAATACTGCTCTTATGACAAAATTCTCAACACATCTGATCCCTAATCTGAGTACAGGCAGTCCCCGAGTTACGCGGATCCAACTTACGTCGGATCCGCAGTTACAAACGGGGCCGTTCCTCTCCCTGGTCTCCAGCAGACCAGGGAGAGGAAGCAAAGCGGCGGAGCACGTGGGCAGCTGTTCTGCCCCAGGCGTCCTGATTCAGCTACTGCTGGTCAGATTCAGCAGCGGCTGAATCAGGATGCCTGGGGCAGAGCAGCTTGGGTGCTGCTGGGTTGGTCCAGTAGCGCCGAGGAGCGGTGGCGCTACTGGACCAACCCAGCAGCACCCAAGCTGCTCTGCCCCAGGCATCCTGATTCAGCCGCTGCTGAATCTGACCAGCAGTAGCTGAATCAGGACGCCTGGGGCAGAACAGCTGCCCACGTGCTCCGCCGCTTTGCTTCCTCTCCCTGGTCTGCTTGGCGTCCTGATTCAGCCACTGTTGAAACTGATCAGTTTCAGCAGCGGCTGAATCTGGACGCCAGTTCCGACTTACATACAGATTCAACTTAAGAACAAACCTACATTCCCTATCTTGTACGTAACCCGGGGACTGCCTGTATCAAAAGCACATCTGCTTTTTTGAAAAATATTTTGTTTTTGTTTTTTTCTCTTCTGTAGGCGTTAGGCCTAAAAATAGTCCCTAGTGCACTCAGAAACTTTTCAAGCTAAATGATCCATAGATTTTAATCTGTATTACAAAATAGAAATCGTTTGAAGCTGATCATGTATTTTATTTGCACATCAAAGGTTAGAGAAGAAGGGGAAAAAAGAAAATAATAGAATAAGCTAATTAAAAACTAAAAGCCACTCTGTCATGTTACATGTTCGACTTCGTGTGTTTTTACTTCTCTACATGCCAGTTTAGCCAAAACAATAAATAACTGTTAAAAAAACCCACATTATTTAATTGCATTAGGTACAGTCAGACTCTTGGGACTAACATCATAAAACAATATTCAGGTTAAATCTCTCCATCTATGCTCCTAATTTCTTCAAGTGAGGAAATGCCTCATCTAGTTGTATGATACTAGTTACTGATAGCAATATTTAAAAATATGTTCCATTATATTTATGATAATTTGCACTGAATGGAAAAGTAGTAAGTACAGTCTCTGTCTCAGAGATTTTACAATCTACAACAGCCAAAAGACTGGGAACAAGTGTTCTGTAAATTTTGGCTAGGGTAATTAAATAGTTATGTTAGTAAAGATACTGAGATAAAAATAGCTTAATTATGAAGTCAGTGATCTGTGTTACAACATGCACATAATAAGCTAGAGCTTGCTAGAGAGATTGTGTTTATCTTTTAGTATCTGATTATTTGTTGTTTTAATATGTATAAATTAAATTATAATGGTAAAAATTTCTTAATCCCCTCTCCCAATTGCCACACCTCAACTTTTATGGGGGCAAAAAAATACTGGTCCCTTTAAAGCCAGTTACAAAGAGCTACTTACTTGAATGTTGATTTGTTTGTCATGAAGCACTCTCTGTAGCTCCAGAAGGCTTCCCTTTAAAGTTCTGAGCTTTATGGCCAAGAGCTCTGCCTCATCTTTTGTATGTGCCTTTCCTTCCATGAGCAGGTTTTCATTGTGCACAGAGAGCTCTGACAAGGCTACCACCTTCTGTTCTATTTCCACCAGCATGTTCTGCAGCAGCAAAAACAAAGAGGCAAATTCATACATTTTCCAGCATCCACCAAGGTTCCTGGCAAGGATACCCGTGGCCTACCTCATCCTCTTCCAAACTAACACCCAGCCAGATTTTCTTTGTCTTTCTCTCCAGTCCTCTCCAGAATCCTCAGGATTATGCTTGCAACATTTTGCATATTTCAACTTTTTATTTTTGGTTGTAAACTTTAATAGAAGTTAATTGAAAAGTTGGTTTATTTGAAATAAAAAATGTGCTGCAAAGGAGACACACTTTTTTGCATTTCAATGGCAACTGTCGCTAAGATGACTAGTGGCGACTCCATTCCAGGGACAGCATTGCATAAGGACAATAAATAGATCTCACAAGGCTACAGCTACTCCTTTTCTCTTGAATGAACATACAAGAAAGAAATCCATCTCTCTGCCTTCCCACTTCCTTCCCCCACCTTGCTGTTTCTGAATTGATAAGCTTCTCTTCTCACTATTTGCCCTTTCTGATTGGTGCTTGAATCGCCTTAAGATCCCCTGTATAATCCTCTTTAGTCTAGAGAGCGACTTAGAGTGACAAATCTCTGTCTTGCTTTCATAATCTATTTTTCTGATATGCAGCTAAACATTTATGTATTACTGTACATAGATAATGAGGCACATTTTGCTGCTGCCAAATTAAAAGATCATGTTAGATTTTTATTCAGATTTAGTCCGATAACAAATGTATATTTCCATTTTCCATAGTAGCTGTTACGTGCTTGAAAGGCTTTGCTCTCTGAAGAGATGTGTGCATACATGATGGGCAAAAGTTCAACAATCAAAATATTTGTTACATTGTTTACTAAAAGGATTGTACTGGGAGTTTTGAAACAAACAATTTGAAGTACTATTACTTGTATAGCAATACTATTTTTTTTTACACAAGATTAGCTATTTTCTTTTCACTCATCCCTTTCCCAGTTTACAAATGCTAATGATACCATCATTTTATCTTAACTTCAAAGTGTTGGTCTATAGATAGTAACAAACTTTCCAAGAATAAACAGAGAAAGATTATGGCAGGGTTGGGTAGTCTTGGAAATTCAACTATTGAAGAGGTCTCAAAGATTGGAAAAATTATTTGACTCTTGTCTCTATTGTATCAATTCTACAGCAGTGTAACACCACTAACTTCAGCAGAGTTGTACTCGAGTTACCCATGGGTACCAGAGCTCTGAATCAGGACCTAAGCAATTAGATCATAAATACAAATCAGCACAGAAATCAGGAATCAAACCAAGACACATATCAGCACCCCAGTATTTCTAGTACTCTAGGATTACCGTAGAAGAAGGTGTGGGGCATACCAGCCTTTTAAAATATTATTTGAAAAAAAGTTTGATTCCCCAGTTATGCACAACAGAAATTATTACCCTGAACATCTGTGGCGAGAGGGGCTACCCAGAAAACTCTCTCCACGTTACAGGACTTGGGTGGTTCTTAAACTATGTAAAGGTTTATTAAATCTGATCACCATGCCTGGCCGTGTGAGTTTTAATCTAGGGCAGAGATCTGAAGTGAAAAAAAGCAGGTATGATGCTCCAATATACCTCTATCAAACTGGGATTTTAATCTGAATGCAGTAGAATATACAGAAGCATCATGACCAGCATGTGGGCAGTCTGATCTAGTGTTCCGAGCAGGAGCTGGGAGCCAGACAGGATAAGATAACAAGAGGTCAGAGTCTGAGACACTGAGGTGCCAGGAGGGAAGCAGGTCAGGTGCCAGAAAATTAGGAACAGTCAGAGCAAGAAAAGGGGAATGCCAGTTATGCAAACAACTTCCTGAGTTCAGTTTAAGTTCAAGAAGGGAACCAATCAGGACCTTTCCCCCAGAGCTCCACCATTCAGGATCCAGCACTGTAATTCTCAATTAGAGTTCAGTTCTTAGTTTGGTAAACTGCTAGCAGATCACTGATTGGCAGACTGGAACTAATTGGTGCTTAGGTCTGGAAGGGGCTTGCCTATCTGGATGTCTGAGCCCTGCTCCCTGTCCTCCACATGCATTTTCAGAGCTTGGGTTCCCTGGACATTTATGGTGATATGACCCATCCTTCTCCCAAACATGAGGCAGGTTATGGAGGAGCTTGGTTTTCTGTGAGGGTCAAGCCCCTCACTCTACCTTCTTACCTGAGCTGGGACCTGCTGGAGTCTGTGTAAGTCTTGCTCCCTGCCACACTAGGTCTGTGCCAGGATCTGGGGCACCTGCCCATCTAAGGGAGGACTTGTGGGAGATAGGTGTTGTTTCCTTCTAAGGGGGTATGAGCCCATCTCTCTACTCTCCCCGACCTTGTGAGCCAGGGTTTGGGAAAGCCCTCTGAGTTAGAGCAGGCATACTTGGAGCCTGCCCCGAGAACACACTGCTGAGTTTGGGGTGATGCACTCAGACTGAGTATGCCTGACACATATCATATCAGAAACTTCTCAGCATGGTAGAGGTGAGATGGGAACATCCACTCATCAGAGTGGAGCAATCCATAAACCTCAAAGCTCCTGTTTCAGGATCTATTAATCTCCATTTCTCTTTCACTTGAAAACATACCACTGAGATGAATGGGCCATGTTATACCTCTCTGAGCCTGCTATATCGCTCAAGAGACCCTAAATGGCCACTACCTTCTAACAACACACTCGGTTTAAAAACTAGGTAATTAAACAAAAACTTCATTAATGGAAAGTTAAGGTTACAGTGATAGCTCATGTCCTTCCAAAACATTAAATTCAGCAAAACTTATACTTTTGAAGACCAGGAAATACTAAGATAAGGTAAGTGGTTACCCAACCTCAATTCTGCACTTTTTGAGCAATGCTGTAACACGTACACTTTCACTCTGCCTTTTCACGCTCTACCTGTGCATTGGACAAATACAAATATTGACCCTACTTGTCCAATACAGTACCACCCTTGTAAAATTTAACAATTCCTATCCTTATATAGCTTCTTCACACTTGCACACAGGATACATCTTAAACCTGTACTTTCCCCCTCCCATCCAGAGGCAGCTCTCACATCCTACTTCACTATATGGCAGAAAGACCCTAATGCCCTGCCACTGTCACTATCTCCACAATTTCATACTGCAGTGATACAGACTGGAACTCTGAGGTACACAAACACCTCTTTCCTTTGATGTCACACATGGGGGGACTCAGACCTCCTCATGTCACAACTCTTCCAAGATGCTCCAACTTATTCTTCTGCCCTTCAAAACAACTATAACTAACAAAATGAATGCAGCTGGAATATATGCTGACAGTTCCCAGGGGCTATTGCCAGCTGCCAGGAGAATATAATTAAGGGCTACTCTAACTCAGTAGTTCCTGGTTTTCAGAAGTCTGAGTTTTGCTGAACTTGATGTTTTGGAAAGGCACGAGTTACCACTGAGCAACCCAGTAAGCAGAATTCAACAGTTTGTTAATATAATGTTTAAATATTCATGGAGGTTAGGTCCATAAAAGGCTATTAGACAGGGCATAGAAATGGTGTCCCTGGCCTCTGTCTGTCAGAGGCTGGAGAAGGATGGCAGGAGACAAATCGCTTGATCATTGTCTTCGATCCACCCTCTCTGGGGCACCTGGTGCTGGCCACTGTCGGCAGACAGGCTACTGGGCTAGATGGACCTCTGGTCTGACCCAGTACGGCCATTCTTATGTTCTTATGTTATGTTCTTATGCCTTTTAAAACATGTGTTGAGTATGCTTGATCATTCTTTATGTAGGTTTTGGAGAGGAAGGGCTTCTTACATACCTACTCAGCCCCACTGACCATCATTTACCCTTTTGTACACTCCAGTTAGAAAGGAACAAGGGGAAGTGTTTCAGGTATCCCTGGAGGTTTTGCTGGATTACCTTTGTTACCCTTAGTCTCTTGGTAGAGCAACCTTCTTCCTGTTCACCACCCCTTTGCTATGGTAAGTTTGCCCTTGGAAACTCCTCCTATTGCAGGCTCAACAAGCTATGCAGGAGTGCCCTGTTAGTGCAGCACTGGCCTGGAGGAGCTTGATAGCCTCCTCCTGGCTAATGTGAGGGTGTGTCCATTCACATGGTAACAAAGGATAGGCCTGATTCTGCTTTTCTAATTCCATAGTGATGTCACTGAAGCCACCGGAACTATTCAAGGAGTGAGGTTTTATTCAGTGTATCCATTGAAAAACTGAGCCATGATTACTAGTTTACCTGACAGTCAACCAGCTGAGCCTCCATGTCCATGGGTTCCTCAGAAGTAACCAAAGTGGTGTCCAAAGTGGCTTTGGTATTGAGCAGCCAGTGGTCAAGCTCATCAGCTTCACAGCGATATCTCTGCAGGGCTTGCTCTTGGCGCTGTTCTTCTAACTGCTCATTGAGTTTTTCCTAGGGGCACAATATGGACTGTTATTTGAGGTTCCTTCTTTAGAAATATAAAGCAGAGGAGAGATACCTTAATATGGCAATACAGTAGGATGTGAGGGTATATCTACACTTGCATCCTAGTTCAAACTAGGGATGCAAATATAGGCATTCGAAATAGTCAATGAAGAGGGGATTTAAATATCCCGTGCTTCATTACCATGATCTCGCCAGCGCGTTACTCTGCTCAACAGCTGTTTTGAAAGTGAAAGTGCATGCCGGGACGTGCTAGTTCGAACCAAACCTCTTGGTTCGAACTAACATTACTCCTAATATTCTAACCCTAACCCTCATTTTTAAGGAGTAACGTTAGTTCGAACCAAGTACTTTGGTTCGAACTAACGCATCCCGGCGTGCACTTTCACTTTCGAAACAGCTGTTGATCAGAGTAATGTGCCAGCGAGATCATGCTAATGAAGCGTGGGATGTTTAAATCCCCACTTCATTGACTATTTCGAATGCCTATATTTGCATCCCTAGTTTGAACTCAATTGCAGTCAAAACACAGAACCAAGTTTGAATAATTTATATATGTAAAATGTAATTTTATATTATTGTACCATAATATTCCATCATCAATACTGTCTCTTCTAAGACTACTGAAACATTCTTTGTTTCTGTCTCTCTCCCACACACAATTTCAGTATACCATCTTCTCCAGCAACCAATGTATGCCCATTCTTGTATAGCAACTCTCCCTAGAGATATGATCCAAAGCCCACTGAAGTTAATGGGAATCATTCGGCTATGGATCGACTCCTGTGGGGTTTGGGTAAATGTTAGACAAAGCAGATGTTAAGTATAAAGGTACTTTCCTAGGTTCATTTTATCTGATAGATGATTAACATGCAGCAGGATATTTCAAAGAATTCTCCAGCTGGTTAAGTATCTCAGTCAGAGAATACTAATTTAACACTTCAAGTTCTGGTTTATTTGTTAGATACTTCTGTGTGTAGAGTAACATGGATATCCCACACTCATGACAGTACAATCTGTATATCACACTGCTCTATAAAGATTTCTCTACTTATATTTTCTCAGTGACATAGGCAGAGCTTGCTTTCTGCACAAGAAAAAGAAGCAAAAGGTAAGAGCAATAATACCCTACATTGACTAAGCCTGTGGAATATTATATGTTAACATACTGATGTTCCTCAGTAGGTACAAACAGGACTGAAAATAATGATTGGATTAATACTGGGAGATAAATTAGCTCTGATTCTGTATAAAATCAATAGGTTACTCTGATATCACAGAGCAGTACTTGGCCTGGCATTTATGTAAAAGCAGTCATAAGTACTCTCCTCTTTTTTAATTTGTTATCATCTCCCCTAATGACAATCAAGCAAACCTACAGCCCCAGTGCTACAGAATACAAGCTATATAGAGTGAGGTTCTCACATTTGTTCTAGGCCCTTTTTGTCACATAAAAGACCTAAGGGCCCTGTTTCTGGATGAGAATTGTCTCAGAGTACAGGCACTGTGGACACTGTCCAAAGACTGCCTACTAAGGATGCCTTTGCAAGTTTGGGGGCACAGTACATGTGCCAGACAGCATCCAGCCCAATTACCTGTAGGGCAGCCATAATTTAAAAAGGGTCTCTGGCAGGTGTGTGGCCTCTAAGGTGGGGCTAGGGTTGAGATGCTCAGGGCTGGGACAGAGGGTTGGGATGCAAGGGCCTTGACTGGGGGCACAGGCATGAGGGACTTGAGGTGCAGGAGGGGATACAGTCTTTGGGCTGGAGGTTGGCCTGTAGGAGGGGGTACTGGCTCTGGGCTGGAGTGTGTGGGCTTTGGGATGGGGTCAGATATGAGGACGTGGGAGTGCAGTAGAGTGCTCAGGGCTGGGGAGGGCTCCAGGTGTGGGAGGAGGATGGGGTTCAGGCTTACCTGGGCAGCTCCTTGCTAGGAATGGCAAGAAGGGACCCCTTTCTCCAGGAGTGGCAGCTCTGTGCTGGGGCTGGCAGGAAGGAGCCCCCCTTCCCCAGCCGCAGAAGTCCCTGTTGCTTGAGGAGAGAGATCTCTCCCTGATGCAGCACTGATCCCTTATGCAGGACTTAATAGCTCCTGTGTAAGGCTTAATGGGAAGCTGTGCAGCCACACAGAAGAGGGGGAACTTAGGGCCCTGGGCTAAATTATGCCTGGAGTTCCAGAGCAGACTAGCATTGGGAAGCCACTAGCCTCCTCTCTTCTTCCCCTTGCCTGTGATTTCTGTGCTCTGTCTCTTAGGATAGGCCTATGCTGCAATTTGAGGTGTGACTACAGCATGGGTAGACATACCCAAGGTAGCATGGCTAAGAATAGCAGCAAAGATGCAGCAAGAAGGGCTAGCAACACGCATATCTAGACTTACTTGCACAGCCCAAGCTGAAACCCTTGCCGCTGCATCGATACTGCTACTTTAAAGCTATGCTGGCTCAGGCAAATCTTGTTGTGAGTATTTCTTTCATGAGTGTGCTGCAATCACAACTTTGACGGTGGTGTAGACATATCCAATGACACAGCACAACAGAAAACAGAACCTAACTTTCAGTATTTAATGTAGTCTTATGTGCAAGACTGCAGCCAGATTCGTAATGGGGTTGCATTCTCTCACCTGCAAAACTAAAACATTTCTGCATGCATGCAATGAGTGAAAAATTAAAAATGCTTTCAAGGTCTTAAATAATTGTAAAGTAATTATGTTAAAATCAGAAGTCTTAAAAATGGAAGGGCCCATCCTCTAGTCAACTGAAAAAAGCATGTACATAATTTATTGTAAGTCTGAACATAAACAGAGCAGCACATGAATGCTATCTCTTCAAACTGTTTTGTTTCTCAGTTTTCACTCTATCCCTTAATGTCCAGCTTGGTTAGCTGGACTCCTGTGTAAGTGTCTGTTATTATTTTCCTTTGCCCTTAAAGCATTGCAGTATCACTTTAGAGAATACTATTTCAGCATGTGCAGCATTTACTTCTCCTAAGGTTAGCATTTAGGAAAACTGCAAAATACTGAAGTAATGTTCTAAAGCTGATTAAAAATGTGTACGTTTCACCACTGAATAGGATGTTCTGATGCTCTTTCTGGTTACATATTCCTTTAGATTACAGAATGAATTGCTAAAAATATTAAACAAAGTTTAAAGAGTGTTTGCTTGGTGGAAGGGAAAGCAAAACTGGGGTTGGTCCAATATTCATTTAACTGGCAATATTTAACAACTGGCTAATAATTCCTTCAGTGCAGTTTGATTCTGAACAATAACTAAGAATGTCATCTTATTACACAACAGTTCTGCTTCCTGCTGGTATTCAAAAATTATACCTACCTATATAATGATTAAAATTAGTTTACTGCTTCCAATTACACAGTGAAATTTTGATCCACCAGTTAGTATATACAACTCATTTGACGTTTCCATGAGGAAAACAGGGTTGGGTATGTGTAGCCAAGAACAAGGCTTTTAAAACCTAAATAATTTTTATTACTGGTGGTGAAATGTGAACTGGAAACAATATTGTTTGCAACTGACATTCTCCAGAGTGCTGTTTCAGGGCTGCCAGCTCTGAACTCGAAGTCACTGAGAAACAATACATTTGTAACCTTACACTGTAATTTTTAGAGTAGTTTTTCATAACAAAGAATGAGGAGTCAAAAGGGAGGTTATTTGTGGAAATTCTTCAGTGAATAGGAAATTTTTCTAAAAATGGGAGAAGAGAGATTTTCTGGTTAATTCACTAAGGAGACAGAAGGGAGAGAAGGAATCAGTGCTTTGATTAGTAAGTACAAGAGGAGGACTGCCTGAGATTAGAAGGATGTCTATGTATTGCAAGGATAATGGAGGGAAACAGAAATACCTAGGACTGTGATGATGAGGATAGGAACTAGACTGGCCCTTTGGTTGATGGGATGAGTGGGTCAAGTTTCACAATGTGAAAGTATGAAAGAGACTTAATGAGATTGAAGCTGAACTGAAAATTTGGGGAGAATTACCTAAAACAGAAAGGAGGGAGGAACAAAGGATAAATTAGGATAGAAGCTGGGCAGTCAGAGGGGAAGGTGGATACTAAAACCAAATATCAATATGACATAAACCCTAGAGAATAGTAGCAGAAGGTTTCTCATGTATAACTTTTTAAATGCACTGAAGTACATATTATGATATAAGCAGAGTGGAATGTTGCAACAACCAAAGTTTTTAGAAGAAAAAAATCCTTGTATATTTAAATATGCTAAAAGCAGTTTTCAGAATCAGAAATGTAAGGAAACATACAAAAAATCCTTTCAAAGTTCTCTTGTACCTCTAGCAGTTGTCGTTTTCCTGAAGCTTTCATTCTAATAGTGGCCATTCTCTCTGCTAGGACAGTTAGCGTGGACTGCAAAGCCAATTGATCTGCAGCATCTGTGTCCAGGGATTCTGAAACCAACTCCTCTGCTAATGATGTTTGAAGCTCACTGATTTCATCTTGTAACATGAGAATCTCATCCATCAAAGCCTATTCAAGATGGAAGCAGAGACACAAATTGGCTCATTTCTTATTGAGAAAAAATGTGAAGCAACATATACTAGCATAAGAAACTAAAATACAAGTCATTCAAGGGAGTGCAAATGTGTTAAAACAGAAATCACTGCAATGAAGTTGATCAAATTTTACTTTTCAAGATTGAGGTGCTAGAACAAGGGCAAGCACACCTTTTGGCTAGAGGACAACACCTGGGAATGAGAATTGCATAGAGAGCTGAGGTAGGGTGAGAGAATTCATGGGTTGTGGCACGGGGGGTGGTATAAGGGATGTTACTAAGGTGGGGCGGGGGACTCATGGGATGTGGTACGTGAGCTCTACAGGAATGGTCCTGGGGACTTTAAGGGACCCCAGCCAGCAGTGACACCAAGGCATCTGTACCAGGCACAACCACAGGCAAAGGCACTCTGACTGGGATGGATGCAGCCCACGAGAGGCTTGAGGTGGGGCAGTAGGAAAATGGGGGGGGATTGAGCACACTGCCATATGGAAGCTGGCTACTGTGTAGGGACAGAAACAGCATGGTGAAGTCACATTGGCATGGTGTGTAGCTCCATGTGCTGGGATATGTGCTCACCAAAGTATTGTGAAATGCAGTTTAGAGAGCAAAGGGCAGGTGGAGTGGCAAGCCCCCAACCATGGAGGAAGCTTGAATGCCAGATAAAAAGGTCTGATGGGCCAGATGCAGCCCGCGGGCTGTGGTTTTTCAATGCTGGGCTAGAAAGACTGATGCTTTAATTTCTGTGCTTATTCAGAGATCATCTGTTAATTAAACATGGATTTCAAGTATATAATTATTAGTACAGGCAGTCCCCGGGTTACGTACAAGATAGGGACTGTAGGTTTGTTCTTAAGTTGAATCTGTATGTAAGTCGGAACTGGCGTTCAGATTCAGCCACTGCTGAAAATGACCGCCAGTTCTGACTTACATACAGAATCAACTTAAGAACCCCAAGTCAGCTGCTGCTGAAACTGATCAGCGGCTGGTTTCCCGG